GCCCAAATCCCCAGACCCCTTCTCCAGCAGTCTCCCGGAACTCCACATGCACGTATCTCCTCTCCGTCTACTTCACATAGGAGGTTTAAGGTTTGTCAGTAGACATCGATCCCAGGGATAAAGAACCACAGACTAGATTTCCACACTAGATATCCAAACCCAATAAACCCAAGAACTTAAGATAAGTCAATAACCATCAAGGGCAAAATGATTAGATTGTGATATATTCATATAGTGAATCACTACACAGCAGAAAAAAATATTGAATTACTGGTATAGAAAAGAATAAATCTTACAGACATAAAAAAAAAAAGCCAAACACAAAAAAGAGCTTACTGTAAGATTCTACTTACATGAAGTTCAAGTACAGGTGAAATTAATGGATGTTTCTAGCCATTTGGGACAGTGATTTCTTCTAAGGAACCTCTAGGGGTAGGTATTGACAGGGAAGAGCATGAGGGAGCCCTCTGGGATGCTGAAAATAGTCTTCATTTTGATCTGGATGGTGGCTACCTACACACATGTCACAATTAATTAAGCTACACACCAAAAACTTGTATATTTTACATTGATAAATTTTAAATTACAATATAAGACAGTGTCTTATTCAATGTCAGGTGTTACACAGTGTAAGTTGCAAAGATATCAAAAGAAAGAGTAAATTATTGTATCGGGAAGACAGAGGAAGTTTTATGGGAGGCTGATTCTGGGGGGAGTGGGCCACCTGTAAGGAGAGCAGAGTCATCTGTTTGTTCACATTTTGCTCAGAAATGGAATAAAAATGGTACCAGCGCTCACAAAGGCATCATAATCTTCAGGCCCACATACCCTGTGTTTGTTCTTCAATAATTTCCCCCTTGCTGTTCAGGATGCCTTTCCTACCTTTGCTGGTACTCTTTTTCATAGTATCCTGTCTCTTCCTTCATTACACTTGTCTCAATTAGTAACCACATATTGATTTGCTAAATAACATAATGCTAATCCTTTTTAAGGTTAAATAAGGTCATAAGGATAGGGCCCTAGTCCAGTAGGACCAGTGTCCGGACAGGAAGAGGAAGAGATACCAGGAATGAGTGTGCACAGAGGAAAGGCCATGTGAGAACACAGAGAGGAAGTGGCTATCTATAAGCCAAGGAGAGAGGCCTCAGGAGAAACCACCTCTGCTGACACCTTGACTTTGGACTTTCAGTCCCCAGAAAATAAACTGAAAAAATAAATTCCTGTTGTTTGAGCCACACAGCCTGGTGTTTAGTTCTGGTAGCTGGAGTAGACTAATAAAGACATCTTCCACAGTGGCTGAGGACCCCAAGAGCCCTCTAAGTGCAAAACACAAGGCTTTGTTTGACTGGAAAAAGACAAGACATGGCAGCTGTGATATGCGGAAATTTTTTTTAACTTTTTATTCTGAGATTATTGTAGATTCACATACAGTTGCAGGAAATAATAGAAACCCAGTATACTCTTCACCTAATCTCCTCCAGTGTTACCAACTTGCATAGCATAGTACAATATCACAAGTAGGAAATTGACATTGATAAAATCCACCAACCGTATTCAGATTTCTCTTGCTTTTATATGCACTTGTGTGTGTGTATTGAGTTCTGTGCAGTTTTATCATATGTATAGATAACACATGTGATCAACACCATAGTCAAAATACAGAACTGTTCCATCACAAAGATCCCTTCTATAGTCACAGACACCTCCTCATCCCCCTTCTTGCTAAACCATACACCACTACTCTGTTCTCGATCTCTATAATTTTGTCATTTCCCAAATATTGTGAATGGAATCATACAGGATATAACCTTTTGAGACTGACTTTTGAGCATAATTCCCTTGAGATCCACCTAAGTTGTACGTTTCCATAGCTTATTCCTTTTCATTGTTGAAAAGTATTCCATGATATGGTTGTGTCACAATTTGTCTAACTACTCACTGCTGAAGGCTGTTTCTAGGTTTGGCTATTGTGAATAATGCTTCATGCTGATTTTGATGTGAACACAAGTTTTCATTTCTCTGGGATAAATACCTCGTGACGTATAGATTTGAGACTCAAAACTGCAGCAGCCATTTGGATATCTCATAAGGGAAACCTCCCCTGACCACTCAATATTAAATAACACCCTAGGCACTCTCCATCCTCCATATCTTGATTATTTTTATTTGTGCATCTTTTGTACTATATATTTATTTCTTGGTTTCCTTTTGTCCTTATTTCCCTCTAGAAAGCAAATCCAGGAGGCCAGGAACTTTGTTTTGTTCCCTGCTGTATCCTGGAGCCTAGAATAGAGCCATAGTGTATACTCAATGCACACTTGAATGAATGAATGAATGAATACATCACAGACATCTTTCTATATTAGTATATATAGATCTAACTTATTCTTTTTGGTGGCTGCCTAGTATTCCATTGAATGCCTGAGTAGTATTTTTATTAACTTGTCCCCTATGGAAGTATATTTATGTTGGTGCCAGCATTTCACAAATCCAAACAATGCTATAATGACAATCCTTATGTAATCAATCATCCTGTGCAGATAGGAGAGAAGTAGATGGCTCAAAGAGTGTATATGCATTAAAAAAATGTGTTTTAGCTCTTACCAAGTTGCTCTCAACAACGTTCTCTGAATATACATTCCCACAGTGACCTGGAATACCCGTTCCTCATGTTCTCACCAATACTGAGTATAGTTAGGCTTTTTAATCTTTACTAACCTCATAAATTAAAAGCAGCATCCCATTATTTTATTAATAGTGAGTTAAACCTCTGTTCACACGTTCATTAACAATTTGTTTCTTTTCCCCTGTACCATCTGTCATAACCTTTGCTCCCCACTGCTCCCCTCCTCTCTTTGCTTTTTACTTACTGTGATAATATTTTATCTCTCAAGGATGTTCACCTCTTGCCTTATTTGCTAAAACTACCTTTTCCCAATTTCCTTTATCATTTGACGGTGGTGAAAAAAATCATATTTTATAGCAAGATAAGAAAAATTTAAACATAAAATCTTTCTTTGCTTGTTTGGGCCTACTCCCTCCCCTTTAGTGTGTACTGTGTATCTGCATTAACCAGACCTCCTTAGGAGACAACATTCCTTCTTAATCTTGTGAGGGGCCATGATGACCCATGAGCCACTACTTGCATTGTACAGGTAGATTTGGATTGTGTAAACTGTCAATAATACATCATTTAATGTATCATTTAATACATCATTAATTTAATTTCTGTCTCAAAAACTTAAATAACTGTGCTTTGACCTCTAATGGGCAGAGAGCCTTCTAAAAAGTTGTTTCTGGGTTATAACCCTCAGTTTGGTTCTAATAAAATTTTCCATTTCTTTCTGAGATTGACTGATTAAGTTTTTTGTAGACAACTGTTTGGGGGTACTTTTCTGTATAGATGTCATTTATTTTTAATTTTATACAATCAATTTATCCATTTGTGGCTTCTGGGTTTGGGGTCTTATTTAGAAAGACCTTTCAGACAACAGATTTTTTTTTAGTAAGTTTTTTTTTCCAAAAAAGCTTTTGTGAATTCATTTTTTTTAATTTAAATCTTTCACTTATCTGGTATACATTTTGCTGTAAGAAGTAAGATGGGATCTCCCCCCCCAACCCAAACAGCTGACCAGCTGTTCCAGGATCAGTTATTGAATACGCAATAGTAACCTGCAGTTTCTCCATCTTCTATAAAATTCTTATTCAGATTGAAGCCAAGTCCCCCTAAAATCGAGTTCCTTTGTTGAGTTTATGATTAACCTCTCTATCTAAAACTTTAATTCCCTTTCTTGTCCCACACCTATGCCCCTCAAGATTGAAGAGTATCAAAGAAAAGGGGGGACTGAAATCAAGTAGGACCCTGCAGGGCACTCCCAGGCAGACAAAGTCTTTCTGAATCCCCTTTTTCTTGTTGGTAGAAAAAGGCTTCAGTTTCCTAGGCCTTCCTTTGCTTCCAAACAATTTCTAATTAGGACATGAGGGAATGCAGAAACAAATGGAAAGCAGTCAAGAAACAACAGCACAGCAAGATAAAACAGAATCCTAGTTCCTGCTCAAGGGATATACATAACAATCTGATATGTATCTTTGAGCTGTTCTGCTGGAAAGAAGGCCTTCAAGCAGGTGGTGGATGGCAACTACCAGCTGAGACTCCAGACTGGTCAGAGAACCAGGTTGATGCTTGAGCTTCCTGGATCACCACTCTGTTACCTCCCACCAACCAATCAGAAGAAAGTCATGCACCCTGCAGCCCTCACCCTAAATGTCGCCTTTAAACACTTCCCTGAAAACCATCAGGGAGTTCAGATCTTTTGAACATGAGCCACCGGTTCTCTTTGCTCGGCCCTGCAATAAACCTTATTCTGCTCCAAACTCTGACATTTTAGTTTGTTTGGCTTCACTATGCATCGGGCACAGGGATTGGGTTTGACATCACTTGTTTGACAAAAAGATTTGAGCCTACTTCTCCTATTCTGTCCTATTGACCTATTGGCTTATTCTTACTTTAATTACTGTAGCCTTGTGCTTTTTCTGCCTCTTTTTTACTTTTATTTTCCCAGACTAACTTTAGTATCACTTGGTAAAGGCAGATAAAAGAAAAGATAGGGGAAGCAAAATATCATAAGCTTTATCAGGTCCTTCTCAGTTTGGTGCCTAGAAGAAGAATGATCCAAGGAGAAAGGGGTCTACAGCGCCAAATGCCTCAGAAACATTAAGATAAAGGCTGAAAAATGTCCTCTGGATTTAGCCAATACTAGTAAAAATTACCGGCACCCTTACAGCAGATAGGGTGAGGGGGAACTTATTTTGAAATAGGGATTTACTTTAAAATAAAACATTTTATTAATAAAAATAGTATTTATTAGTTAGGTTTAGTTTCTGTTGCATATGCAGACAATCTAAATAAGTGGCCAAAACAAGACAGTTGCTTTAGTCTCTCTCAAAGATATGACTAGGTGTGGGCACTCTGTAGTGAATAAGGACCCAGGCTTCTTTACCTTTTATTACACCATCTTAGTGATGGCTTCCATCTTCAAGACTGCCTCATGGTCCAGGACAGCTGCTCAAGCTCCTACCATCATGTGCACATTCCAGGCTGAAAGAATTAGGAAGAGGGGAGGTTAAAAGGGTGTACTTTCCAACTGAGTAGGCTTCTTTTAAGAAGCTATCTCAGAATGCCCACCCTAAAATTTCCACATAGATATCACTAGCCACCCACAATCTCAGGGCCATGTTGAAGTGTGAAAGAAGTGCTGAGTGAGTTGGCGTTCCTAAGCATGTCCATAACCAGCTAGACAAGATTTTGTATTGCAGCACTGCACTCATGAATTTACCACAGTATTGGCAGCAAAGGGGCCTGGGAAGTATCTCTTAGCTGGGCATATTGCTACCTGGAATAAAACTGTGAACGAAAAATACAGCAAACCGTATCAGTAAACAAAGAATGCTGAAACCATAAAGTCATCAGTGGCTGCTGCCACCCCCCAGTGAAGACAAGCCTGCAGCCCAGCCTCTGCAGCCACTCACAATGGTACACTCTGAGGGGAAATAGAATAATAAAGGACAAGATACTGGCCTTAGATAGCTAGATGCTTGTCAAAGGAATGAATTCAATGAGCCCAAATGTTTGCTTCCTCCCATACATAGAAAAGCACTAAATTGTTTAACTTGAGATGCCTGGTTTTCTTTAGATAACAAGTAATCCTTTATTGTTCCAACTGCCTGGTCTTCATTATAAAGCCCCTATATCTACTACTTCCTCTCCCCTACCTCTTCAGAGTAGTCCCTCAGAGTGATCTGAGAGGCTGTCATCCTGGCTCAAGTCCTCCCGCCAAATAAAACATAACTCTCAACTTTGAGGCTGCACATTTATTTCAGTCGACAAAACTTTAAAGAAGGAGTGGAGATTGGCTATAAAATAGTCAACAACAGTCCCTTCCATGTTGTGTTAAGACTGAAAGCATATATGAAAATAAACAGCTGTACCAGAAGTCCCTAACTAAAGGTTAGTGTTGCCGAAAAACAAGCCTCTGTACCCCAATAGCCAAATTGAGATTCAGAGGCAGAGTTTGGGGAGGATAGAAAAGAACAACTTTACTGCTTTGCCAGGCAAAGGGAGTCATAGCAAGCAAATGCCTTACAGACTGTGAGCTCATCTTGGGGCTGGGTCTTGAAATTTTATAGAAAAACTGGATGGAACAGAAAAGGTGATAACAATCAGGGCGTTTTACAGGGTGTTACACTCTCTTTATTTTGATAATAACTTGCTATTGTTATGGAAGAACTTAGGAGGATTTGCCCATTTTCTTGAGGTTCAGTCCATGACCTTTCAAGACCTCTAGGGTAAAAAGGTAAGTTACTCTAAGAAAAGAGGGCACAGGGAGGGGAGTGTGTTAGTCATAAGATCAGTTTAGCTAGAAATACAGGCCTGAACAACTCAAGAGCCATCTTGTTAGTTTTCTACTCTTTCATTAGGAGGTCAATTTCATCTTGCAGAGATGATTTTTTATAATTTTTAGTTAGCTTGAGCAGCTGTCCTGGACCATGAAGCATTGACTTGAAAGTTAATAAATTCCACATAAACCTACAGATTTCTACCTTCTTTTGAAAGTCAAAAATTTGACAATATTCTGGGCTTACATTCTCAATGGTTACTTTAGCTAGAGATGATAAGGAGCTGCTTCACAGGAAAGACATCCGATCTCCAATTAGTCACTGTCCTCATCTTTCCCTATGGTGACCCTGGTCTGGCTGGCTCAATTAAATTACCTTTTTGTCTCCAACAGGTATTGGTATTTGCACCTGTCATTTTACAAATGAATAACTGTTATAAAGCTAAGAAGTATGCATAAAATGTAACAGTGGAATCACTAGGTTAATTATTAATTCAATAATTCAACAAGTATTGAAATACTTTCAATATGATTAAAGCTATGTGCAAGGCATAATGAAGATCAGAGGAGGTCTGGAGAGGAGTCTCTACCCTTAAGGAGTTACTAAAGTATCTGATTTCAGTTTCTTTATTTACAAATAAAGTGTTGGACTATGTGACAGCACAAATTATTTCCTATTCAAAAAGTATGCTCGGATTTAGAAACTTGATAGAGTCTAAGACAGGTAAAAATAGTACACAAGGGAAAGTCAAAGAAAATCTAGATAGAAAATAACCAAGTACCAGAATTTGAGGTTCTGTATGAATACAGGAGGCCCACTGGAAAGGTGAGAGATCAGTGTGGCTTCTTTAGGTTAAGCTCCAAGGAAGAGGTAGAATTCATGAGTAGTCCTTGTAGAGGATTGTCAATGCTGAGTCAGAGGCTGGGCTGGCAGCACTGAAAAAGGACTGAAATGTCAGCCTATGCTGGAGGCCAGAAGTGCTCAGACTGGACCCCAGGCCCAAGGGTTTGTTTCAACAATGTCCTGTTGGCAAAAAGGAAGCTTTGAAGATTTCTGAGAAGTGACAGAATGAAAGTACTTTAGGGGATTTTTAAGGACAGTTCTCTCCCTTAAAGTGTTATGTAAATAGGTTAGAGGAAAAGACGGGAAATAGGGAAACTGGTGGAATTGGTTACATTCAGCTGCTAGTTAATTCATTTAAAAAATATTTGCAAACTATCTTACCAAAACATTTCTATGTTAAATTGCCTTCAAATACCTAGGTTCTGAAATGCTTTGAACCGATATTAATATCTTACTCACTGTACCTTCCCTTATTATCATCCCTCTTAATAAGTTAAATAAAAATTTTGGCACATGTTTAAAAAAATTTGCAAACTGACATTCTTGAAATAATTTGGGTCAAAGAGTGGCAATGGAAATTAAAATGAACAGAAGCAAGTTGAGAGCTAAAGCAAAGCAAGGCTGTCCAAATTCAATTTAATCTATAGAGAATGAAGGACAATACTGAGGAAATAGCAAAGGAAAACAGGAAATTCAGAGGTAGGGATGAGGGAGCAACGCAAATATTTGTCACCCACAGGATCATCAATCTCCCTCTACTTCAGGAAGGAGCAAGCGGGTTTAGGCTCTATTCAATCCTCTGTGCAGTGGGTCTTTTACTCTTTTAATGGATAAACATCCCTTTCCATTACATAACCACTTTTATCGTTAAAAAACTAGATGTAATGAAGCCTCCCTCCTCGCTACGGTAGAATTATTCTCATTTCACCTCAGAGGAAACTGAAGCTCGCTCGGAGTGATAAACCAATTTGCTTAGGCACAGTAGGAAGTAGCAGAATTGGGCTCGTCTTTTTCTGTCACAGAAATGTTGCCACCTGATAATTAAGCCTTTCTTTTTGGAAACGAAATTGCGAGTGCCTGTAAATGGGGTTGTTTGATAAAGCTCCTCACAGACTGGGTGGGGCTCTGTCCGCTACCCTCATCCCTTCGGCCTCCCGGGGAGGCCAGATGGCTCTTCTTCCCACACCAACACAAAGCTAGCTTTCTCTCGCCGGAGCTGAGGCCTGGGCACCAGACAGGAAACCCAACAAAAGACCAGGGCGCCAGGCCCAGGGCCTCGGAAGCTCGGCGTTGGGCCCGGAGCCTGCAGGCAGGAGACCCTGTCCCCGCCGAGCCCGCGGACACCGCCTGCCTCGGTGACCGGTCCCCGAGGTTCCCCTCTTGCGCTTGCTACCCAAAGGCGGGGGCGACGCCTCCCAGCACCTCTGTGGAGAGAACGGTGCAGGCCCGAGGCCAGCACCAAGCCCCGCCCCCTGAGCCGCCCCTTCCGCTCGCGCCGGGGCGGGGTCTGCACGGCCGCCGGGATCCGCTCGGACGCGGCCACGTTGTCTTGTGCG